GCCACCAAAGCAGGTCACTCCTGGGACAGGGGGAGGAGAGAGGCAATGTCCAGGAACTCCTTCATTTCAACCCTGATAAAGTCTCTGACATCAGAACATAAGGGTGGGGAATTGAGACTGTTGTAAATCCTGAAGGGCTGTCAAGAGCATGCTAGATTCACTGTGATGCTGAGATGGCAGGCCCGCGTTCTACTCGTCCAGCTGTGGTCTAAGAAATGCAAGTTCCTCATCAACACAGAGAATATGATGCACCCATCACATGTCCAGGCAATCTGTGCTCTTCCCTACCCTGGTCCCCACATACCATTTTAGCCTCCTTACACTTAAGAATAAAATACGCATCTGCGTAGTCAGGGTTGTGAGCATAAAGCAGAATGATGGTTTGAAGAGCAAAGCCATTGTGTTTACTGATTAAGGTCATAAATCGCTATGTGTCTTAGAATGAAGAGTGTCATCACACTGTTTAAGGTCATAAATTGCTATGTGTCTTAGAATGAAGAGTGTCATCACAAAGCATTTCCGCTCACCTCTGATTCTAAAAATGCTACATGTCTTTTTTTGAGGACTAAACAGAGGGCAGGCAGCTCATACACCTTATGGGGATGGGACACATTCCTTATAAATTTAGGACTAAATCCCTGCTGGTTCCAAGGACTCAGTAGATGAACGTGCACATGAGAAAACACCTGGGAAGGATTCTGTGCTTTTGGAACACCTTTCCCTCTAGCCATTCGAAGGAGGGTCACATTGCAGCCCCTTTGCCTTTTCCACCTCTGTTAGGCTCACCAGCTAGCTGGCCCTGAGGATGCTGACAACAAGGCGGCTTTCATCCTTGGGTCACTGGTTGAGATTCACTATGGATTTGGTCCATCGCAATCAATGCTGACAGCAGTTTGCAGACTCGACTCACATGGAGGACGAAACAAGGTCTCCTTACTTACATCACTGACTTGGACACTTTCAGGTACAAGCTGTCCCACACACAGGTCCTCTGCAGCCCACAGGGGCTGTGACAGAACGGAAGAACCTGCCTACAGCATGCATTTGTTTTACAATCCGAGAGCCGCAGGCGAGGTTCTCTGCCATGCCCGAGACGGTAGCAAACCAGGTGTGATATTTTATGGGTTCATGCCCAGGATTCACCTATCATCAACTATTATCACATAAAGCAGGGACAATGCAGACAGGACACCTGGGCCATTTGTTTTCTAACAATTAGCATCTAAGGAGGACTCACTGTATGCAGCACAAAACTGAGTCCTTGACACAGATTATTGCTTTAAATCCTGACGATACCCTGCGTGAGGTACCATCTTACCCCAAGTTCAAAGGTGAGGAAACCAAAGGGGCTTAAAGAGGTTCAGCAGCTCATCCAAGGGCAGAGAGCTAAGAAAGGGCAGCCAGGGATTTGAACTCTGCTGAGCTGAGTGAGCTATGTTATGCAGCCTTTGACTGAAATTTGATGCAGATACTAGAATGTTCAATTAGCATGATAATCGTGGAGTAAGATAAAACAAAATCAAAGCTAAGAACAGTGCCTTCCACAGAGTAAGTAATCAACGTTGACATTTCATCATTCACAGCACCAAAGGCAAGGTTGCTTAGTCAACCTAACATTAAGGAAACAAATATTTTTTACCTTTTTTTTGGTGAAGGACACAAGTCACACAATATACATAGATATCTAATATCTGCTGGGTGCAGACCAACAGTCTAAAACCATCACTGAAGCAAAGGAAATACACAACTGTTTCCAAGTACTTGGGGTAGTGTAAATAAATAATGTTATCCTACCCAAACAACATAATAAAAGTTAAAAAATTTTAAAAACCTCAAGTAGTTAGGGGCGCCTGGGTGGCTCAGTTGGTTAGGCGACTGCCTTCGGCTCAGTTCATGATCCTGGAGTCCCAGGATCGAGTCCTGCATCGGGCTCCCTGCTTGGCGGGGAGTCTGCTTCTCCCTCTGACCCTCCCCCCTCTCATGTGCTCTCTCTCAAATAAATAAATAAATAAATAAATCAAAAAAAAAAAAACCCTCAAGTAGTTATAGATAAGTAAAGCCTCTGAAAATGATTTAAAAATTCATTTCAATGTCTAAAATTATAAATTCTCAAACAAATCATTATAAGTTATCTTAATAAAGCTTGAAGTTTAGCACCTACAAAGTATCTTATGCATAGTAGGTTTCCAATAAATCATTCTGGAATGAATGAGTGAGTTCATGAATATGCTTTTAAAAACAGACACTGTCCTTTCATTATGTTTAGGATATTTTTTTTTAAGATTTTTTTTTAATTCTATGATGCAGGTTGCATGATATTTTCTTATTAACAATTTTTAAATCATTTCCTTAGTAATGATTTTTTTTCTTTAAAGGAATCTCAGGATCAATCTCTACTTCAAAGGAAAGGGAATAACTATCATCCTGAAAAACAAAAAGAAATAACTAAATAACTGGCCAGAAATAATTAAAATAATTAAGAACAGAAATGAAGTTTTCAGATATGAGAGCGGTAAAAAGAAAAGCAGCTTCAAAATATCTTTATTACCATTTAAGAAAATATAAACCTGTTCTCTATGTAGCATAATGAAAACACACGAAATGTATAAATTTAAGCCACTGTGACTGGTGAAGAGTGAAGACATTTCCCTGTACTGTATACATAATTGAATAGATAAATTCAGACCAAGATAATACTTCTTTCTCAAAAGCATTGTGGTGCCCTGGGTTACTGTGGGGACTCAACAGTTTAACCAATGTGCACTCAAAAATAACTCTTCATTTTTAAAAAGAACTTCTAAAAGACTAATATGAGCATAAAAATACAAATTACTGCAGTTATCTCTATACAGTAAAATGTTAGATTAAATCTACACTGACGAAACTGTTCAGTAAACCTATTATGTTTAAAAGGAAAGAGGAGAGAGGTATATGGAAAATAGTAAAGATTTCTAGCAACAATTTCTACACCTTTCCTTCAGAGCTGTGCCCTTTCACCAACAGGCAAATCTGAGATTCCCCAAGTATTCCCCAGGCATTAGGAAAATCAATAGCATTACCTTTGGGTGCCTAAGGTTGCTTTTGAATAAGCTTTTATCTCATTTTAGCAACAGTTTTTTTAAAAAGCACAAAAACACAGGACGTATATAACCTTGGCTCACCATTACTCTGCCTTCCTTAATACAATCTGCTAAAAGAAGCCAAAGTGTTGTGGTTCAATTTCACAAGCTTCATCACATGGTTCTGCCAAACTGCAAAGCTAATGGGACAAATTAATAGGCTGACTATACTGTACAACAGGTAAAATAGACCCTTAAAATCAAAGACAGAGCTACAGTCCTTAAGGAGACACGCTTTTTTTTTAAAGGAAAAAAAAAATGAGGTAGTAACAATTTCAAAAATAGTAAAAAAAAATTTAAATAAGTAATATAAAATAGTAAAATAATCCAAATTGAATGTGATTTGTGCTTTCTAAATCCAGCCTGCATTTGTACATCATTTCCATATTAAACAGCCCGAGGTTCTGCCTGGTACTTGCTAGAAGAAATCTGCACGGAATAAAGCCTGGTGCCTGATTCCACATGTGACAAAGCATTTTTAAAAAAATTACTGATAAGCACATTGCCTGGATTGTGACCATGCGACACTAAGCACAAATTTTAAAGCCAAGCACTGGTCAGTAAAACTGTATCTCAGTAGTTCTCATGGTTCCAACAACTTTTAAGAACATAGGAACCTGACTCAATTTAAATACTGGAACACAGATTAAGTATGTGAAATACACATTTTTATGCCTAAAAACAAACATTTTTCACACTTACAAAAGATGCACAACAAATATTATTTGAGACAAAACCTAGCAATCAGATCTGCCTATTGCTGTCAACTTTCTTGTCTTTCTGAGAGGCTAATCAATCTATGGAGTAGACATAGGCAAAAGAGGAATAAATCCATGGCAGCCGCCACAGTCTCATTGGGACCCAGGAATCCTACAAGGAAAAAGAAGCCACGTGCTAATAATACTCTAAAGAAAAACAAGCTGCATATTTCTCAGAGTCTGATGAATTACTTCTTTTACTTTTCTACTTTTTTCATTGACTGTTTTAAAATATATGCTTGGGGGCGCCTGGGTGGCTCAGTCCTTAAGCATCTGCCTTCGGCTCAGGTCATGGGATCGAGCCCCGCATCAGGCTCCCTGCTCCCCGGGGGAAGCCTGCTTCTCCCTCTCCCACTCCCCCTGCTTGTGTTCCTTCTCTCGCTGTGTCTCTTTCTGTCAAATAAATAAAATCTTTAAAAAGTAAAATAAAATATATGCTTGCTCCTAAGGAGAAAAAAGGAAGACTTGGGTAGGGAGTAAATCTTAAAAGATCCCCAAAGCTAGGCAGGTTTATACAGAAGTCTTTCATCTTCCAACACCTGTTAACTAAAGTTCCTACACTTGTACTTAAGGAAAAAAAAAATGAGACTGGGAGGAAGCTCCATCTGCTTTACTTTCCGAGTTGGGATTTACACACCTACTGATGAGTTCTCTCTCGCACTCTTTCCCCCTCAAATCTTCAGAGAAAACATGCACATACATGCAAACACAGACGATGTACTGACCACTGTACGTACAGGTTCAACACCATGACAGAGGAGACAAGCCATACTACAATAATCAAAACAAATCACTGTTAACAGTGAGAAATGGGTTTCTTTTAAAGCCAGCTTGGACTCTTCATGTCCCTATTCCTACTCAGTTTCTCTTCATCCAGGAACTTGAAAGGAACAGAAAGACAAAACAGTTTGCATTAAAGGAAGAGAAAGAAAACAGCATGATCGCTTTTCCGGGGTACTACAAAACCAGCAACGGGACCTGGCTGCGCCCAAGTGCAGCATTAAAGACTGCCAGCCCAGACCCTCAGATACGTCGTGTAATCAAGAAGAGTAAATAAATAATAGTGGTCATTGTCATTAAGAATGAAAATAGTAATAACGATTGTCACCACGGGGTTCCGTACAGCAGCAGCACATGGAGCGGACTTCTCCTCCAGCCCCCACCGCGCGCAGCCTCCCCGCAGCAGGATACCGCGGCGGAGAAAGGCCCGTGGGCTCCGCGCGCGCCGAGCCGTGGGGCGGGGCCGGCTCCGCGGGGTTCCTCGGGCACGCGCCCCGCCCGGCCCCGCCCTCCCCTCTAGCGCCTGCGAGGCCAGGGGGCTGGGCGGCATTATCGGCTTCCGGTTGCTAGGGCCAGTCTCCGTGGCCTCTGGCCGCGCCTTGCCAGGGGACCAGGGTAACCTAGGTGCTTCTAGACCCACCACCTCCCTTGACCATTACCTCGCTGCCTAAATTCCGAGGCTAAGGGGAAAAGCCAGTTATTTTGAGAAGTAGCTGATTGCCTTTGAGGGTAGTATAGGAGTCCAACCGATCTTCTCTGATAATATGGAAGGAAAATTACCAGCATCAAGTGGACGTACTAACAGGGATCATACCTTGAGCGCTTGTGTGCAAAGTTATCTTTGGGGGACAAAACGGCCCGTTTATGCAGCTCCAAAGCATCCCCTTCTGGACTGTCAACGGAATAGTGATGTGTCAGGCACTTTGATGTTGCCCTGAGAACTAAGCGCATTTTTAGGGGGTCCATCTTCTGGCATCATTTCTAAATAGTACTAATTGGAATAGAGATCCTGGAAAATCTAATTAGATTGAAGACAATCTTATTTTTTGATTAAATAGTATAACCCAACTAGTAGTGGTTGCAATTTATAACAAGTCACTGTTACAGAAAGAAAACAACTTACTTATGAATACTTAGATATGGTGGGTCTTAAGAGGCTATCATGGAGGGATTTCCTTATCTTTTTTTTTTTTTCATTCTCAAGTTCCTTTGATTATTCCTTATCTTTTTGACCAAATCTTTTTCCAAATATGTAAAGTGATAACATTTTGAAGGTAGAGAAAAAAAAAATGAGTGTTATTTCTACTGTTCTGGAAAATCAGTATTTACTAGATGATCTAACATTGGCAGACTGAACATTTTTGCTAACATGGGAAATTTTAGAATGATCCTGATTGGTAATAGTATATGTATTTTAAAATTCTGTGTTAATTATAAACCTAGATTTTATCTAGATTCTTTCTAGAAGTTTTAAAGAATTTTCTTTCTTATCCTCTCTTTTATAGGAATTCTGCTTGGACTCAGTACAATAAGTACAATATTAGCACAGAATGATTTTCACTAAGATGTAATCTAGATTCTAACGAATGATTTTTCAGCAACAATTCAAACATATTCAAAACGTTTTCAATTCTCACTTAACCAATAGCTATGAAAAACGTGCTTATTGTTAATTAAAATGGAAAACCACCCACAACTACTTCGAAGACCTTTACCTCCAAAATTCCCTAAGCTGCCTTTAAGTAAGAAGAAAGTCCATACAGGTATGTGTGTTAATCAGATATGTTATTAAGATTATTTATTTTTCATAGAAATTTCTCAACCTGCACAGTTCAGAATCACAATAGTGAAAAAGACACTCACTAATAATCAGTAACTTACAAATGTTTGTTGTGAGATGATAACATCCAATTCAATTCTACAATTACAGTTGATCCTCATTGTTTGTGGATTCTATAGTGCAAATTTACCTAACTGCTAAAATTATTTCTAACCCCCAAGGCAGTACCCTGTGCTGTACTTTGTCTTTTTAACTCCATGATATATCATGAAGAACACTTCAGAGCCACAGAGAGAACTCTTTCTCCTGTTGTAATAGGTGACACTGTATGCAGGAGAGTGGCATATATGGTGACTCTTGGTCATTAGTGGATGAGTATGAGCAGGGCAGTGAAACCACGCGTTCCCAGCTGACGTCCAGCAAGGGATATGCTCTGCCTTCTTGTTTCAGCTCTCATACTGTAAACAACGGCCCCTTGCTCAGTTTGTTTTCAGTCTTTTCTCAGTGCCATGTTTTTAATTTTTTTGTGCTTTTTGTTGGTGATTTTGCTGTCTAAAATAGCCCCCAGGCATAGTGTTCCAGTGCTGCCTTGTGTTCCTAAGCACGAAAAGGCTGTGATGTGCCTCACAGAGAAAAACATATGTATTGGCTAAGTTTCCTTCAAGTATGAGTTGCAGTGTTGTTGGCTGTTTGTTCAATATTAATGAATCAACAATATATATTAAAGTGTCTCTAAATAGAAACACGTATAATACAAGATTGTGTATTGATTGTTTGCTGATAATGTTGAGACCAGAGGCCTAGAGGAACCTAACCCTGTATTTTTCCTAGAAGCAACGACTCAGTGTTGGATAATTCAGTGTTCACTGAGATTTTTATAGAACAGAACTGTCAGGAATAACAAGAATCAACCATACTTCTGAGCACAGTGCTAGGAATTGGGGGTGCAATAGTGAGCAAAAGAGACCTTGTCCATCCTCTTCACTGGTTACCCTCTGGTTGGATAAAATAATCATATAAGTAAATGTAAAATTATCCTGTGATAAGTGCTATGAAGTGAAGATGAGCCTCTTGAATAACTATCACTTTATATAATACCCTTAATCCTCTATTTCCGTATGTGGTATCTATTGACTCCTCACTTGTAGCAATGATAAAATTAGCATATTTCCACTTCTTTCCCCTTTTCAGGGGAAAAATCTAAAATCAAATGGTTGAGTTGATCGTTTTCATTGTAATTTTAGTTGATATATTATTTTATAATGTATTTCCTTATTTTAGTGTCAACATTTATACTATGAAAATATGTGTAGTCTGTAACTTGATTTACAATGTTAAATTATTACCTTTGATTCATGGCTATTAAAGATATATAAATCAACATGCCATACAACCTCCAATTTCCTATCCTACTTTCCCTTTCAACTTTTGTTATATCCTTTCTACATTTCTTTTGTGTTCTATATTTCTACATTTACAATCTGTTCTATAACAATAATGCTGACACAGTTATGTGGATTTACTGCTCACTACCCGTTCTTTTGTTGTAGTTTTTTCATTCATCTTTTAGTTGAAGTTTATCTGCGAGTACAGGACTCATTAATTCTTTTTTTGTCAGGGAGGTGGGGGGGGGCTCTCCTGCTTTTTGGCACCTCAGAAGTTCTATGACCTTGACTGTTATCAATCCCATGTTTCCAAAGGCTCTTGGTAAAGTACTTTGCATTTAGTAGGTGTTCAAAATATTTGTTGAATGAATTCATTAATACTTAAAATGACTCAAGTACAGTTTATAAAAATGAATATTCAAACACTGAAATAAAACCCTGAAATAAATACCTATAATTTGCCTATGATTCTAGATACTATAGGGAATTAATAACCTGAATGAGCTGGTGCTTGCCTTTCAGGACATTTTAAGACCTTTAATCAAGTTCTAAAGATGAGTTACACATAAAATCAGAACCTTAAATAATGCATAAAATAGGGCGCCTGGGTGGCTCAGTTGGTTAAGCGACTGCCTTCAGCTCAGGTCATGATCCTGGAGTCCCGGGATCGAGTCCCGCATCGGGCTCCCTGCTCAGCAGGGAGTCTGCTTTGCCCTCTGACCCTCCCCCCTCTCATGTGCTCTCTCATTCTCTCTCTCTCAAATAAATAAATAAAATCTTTAAAAAAAATAATAATGCATAAAATATAAGGCAGCATAGAATTTATGTCCAATTAATGGTACAGACGGTAGTTCATAGATATGAGAGAGCACTGGAGCTGGAATGGGGCTTGAACTAGGACTTGAGGAATTGGTAAAAGTGGAATGAAATCTGTTTTATAGAGGAGACCTGTGTCGTTTCTGATGACAGAGGAGAGTCTTTTGGAAAAGTAGAAATTTAATATATTGGGGAAAAAAATAAAAAGAAAAGAAATCATGGGGAAACGTATCAAAAACTAGGGAAGTATAGACTTGAAAAGATGATAGCATCTTCACTGAGAGGATTTCCCTAAGCACCTCTTCGCCCTCCACCCAGAGTACCTTCCTTTATGCTCCGTTAGTATACCACGTTTACCCCTACCAAGCACTTATCATTCTCTGGTGTAACTGTTTTTGTTTTGTTTTGTTTTGTTTTTTTGGTTTTTTTAGATTTTATTTGAGAGAGAGCACACACAAGCAGGGGGAGGGGCAGAGGGAGAAGGAAAAGCAGGCTGGGAGCCCGAGGCGGGACTCGATCCCAGGACTCTGGGATCATGACCTGAACCAAAGGCAGATGCTTAACCCACTGAGCCACCCAGGTGCCCCCCTCTGGTGTGACTGTTTACCTGCCTAGTTTCTATACTAAATTGTGAACTCTTGGCTGTTAATAAGGTGTGTGCTGTGTGATTGTACCCGCCGCACTGTGTACATCTGGTACATGGTATGTGTCAAACGTTTATGGAATTAATGAGAACAGTAAGTGTGGGCTATATTAATAAAGAAAGATGGATTGAATAAGGTTTAAGGTAGACTTTGGAAAGAAGAAAATGATCTCCGTTTTTTCATAAGAGAAGGTATTCCACGCAGTGTGATCAACCTAAGAAATGAAATCACACATAAGCAGTATGGGCTTTGTGTTCATCAGTAATAATTAGAGTATCTGAAGGTTTCCACTGGAAATTAATGAGTCATTACCCAGCAAGTTTAGGTGAAGTGGATCCAATTCACATAGATTTTTACTCACCAAACTAAGGAATCTGAGTTATCACTGATAAGATTCAGATAATGTGATGGAAATGTTATCAGACTGTGTCAGAAAATCAAGGGTGAAGTTAGATCAACGTCAACTAGGATGATGGCAGTGACAATTAGAAGGGAAAATCTGGGTTTTTTTTTTAAATATCACTTAACTGCAATAGAAAAAGTTTGAAATGCAAGAGCCTGTGTGAAGGCACTTCATAAACTATAAGATCATTGCGTAGTTTTGAGATGTTACACTCCTTGTAATACTTCTTGCTTGGCCTGCAATTGTTTACTGACTTGCAGCAACCTGGAAAGTGCAAAAGGCCCTAGAGTGGGAGTCCAGGGATCTGAATGCTGGTCTTAGCTCCAACACTGATATGATGCATGGCTTTAGGAAGTCAGTCAGTCGGTGGGTCTTATCTTTCTATTCTGAAACAGCAGAACTTAATTAGGTCACTGATTTTCAATCCTTTCCTCCACTATAAACCAAATGAAGATGGGACATGAATCCATCAGAACAATAGCTCACCTCTTCATTGACTCTCATGGTAGAAAAGGAAAGGGGAGTGGAGTGGGGAAGGAAAAGAAGTAGGGAATTAGAAGCTTTGGAGCTGACATATATAATTTGAGTATAGCCTGGAGGTGATTAATTGGATATGTTAAATGTGAGGACTGAGGAATTGGAAGTATGGTAGACTGAAAAATAACCCCATAAAAAGATATCAACATCCTAATCTCTAGAACCTATGAATGTTATCTTATATGGCAAAAAAAAAAAAAATGTTATATGGGGTTACAGATAGAATCAAGTTAAGGATCTTGTGATGAAAGATTATTTTGGATTATCCAGGTGGGCCCAAAATACAATCACATGTATCTTTATAAGAGAGAGGCAGAGGGAGATTACACACACAGAGGAGATGATATGAAGATGGAGCAAAGAGAGATTTGAAGATGCTGGCCTTGAAGATAAGAGTGATGTGGCCACAAGCCATGGAGTGCTGGCAGCCACCAGAAGCTGGAAGAGGCAAGGAATGGATTCTCTACAAGAGAGTCCAGAGAGACTGTTGAATCTCAGATCTGTACCTCTGAAACAAATAATGCAATATATGTTAAGAAAAAAAGAAGAAGAAGAAGGTAGCGGGAGGGGAAGAATGAAGCGGGGGAAATCGGAGGGGTAGACGAACCATGAGAGACGATGGACTCTGAAAAACAAACAGGGTTCTAGAGGGGAGGGGGGTGGGAGGATGGGTTAGCCTGGTGGTGGGTATTGAGGAGGGCACATTCTGCATGGAGCACTGGGTGTTATGCACAAACAATGAATCATGGAACACTTCATCTAAAACTAATGACGTAATGTATGGGGATTAACATAAGAATAAAAAAAACAAAACAAAACAAGAGAGTCCAGAGAGAACATGACCCAGCTGACACCTTGATTTTTGGCTCAGTGATATAATTTTGGCTTCTGGCCTCCAGAAGTGTGAGAGAATAAATTTCTGTTGCTTTAAGCCACCAAGTATGTGGTAATTTGTTACAGCAGCTAGAGGAAGCTAATACAAGAGAAATCCAGGATTCCAGTATGTGTATGTGTATGTGTATGTGTATGTGTGTGTGTGTGCGCGCGCACATATGTATGACAAGATAACAGATGTATCTCTATGAGATAAAGGAGAACAGAAACTGCTGATGAGTTTGGTGTAGACATGATAAGTTTGAGGTGCTTAGGGTTTCCAGACCCAGACTTAGAATTATTGTATATGGAAAATTAGTTAAAAGTGAGAGGAGGGATAATGATAGAACCTTTGGGGATACTAAATGGTAAATTGAGAAAGAAAGATTTGTCTAGAGAAAGATGAATGGCCAGGTGGCATTAATGGAGAAATGATGGTGTTCTCATGAGAGCCAAGGAGAGAATGAATTTCATGAAGAGAGTGGATTAAAGTATCAAATGCTAAAAAGAGGTCAAATAAAGTTAGTAATAATGTGTCTCCATTAGGTTTAGCAACCAGATATCAATAACTTTGTGATAACAGCTTTGGTAGTAGAGGTGGAAAGTTCTAGGTCATAATGGTTTGAAAAGTAAATGGGAGGAGACTTTGAAAGGACAATGAAAGAAATTTTTATTATAAATTAAATATCCTTTCTAAATGCAGCACATCAAACGTAAGCTGTCTTGTGTTTTTTTGATTATCAAGATAGCTGGAATTTAAAGTATTAATACCAATCAATAAAGTATATACCAATTCAAAATAAAAGAAAGTAGACTTAGATGAATTATAAATGTATATCGCAAACTTCAGGGAAACCACTTAAAATTTTTTTAAAAGAAGTATAATTGATATGCTAAGAGAGAAACTGAGAAACTGAAGGAGAGAAACTGAATCATAAAAAGAAGAAAAGGAAGGGAAGATTTAAAAAAGAAGACGAAGCAGCAAAACAATAGCAATGAATAGAAAACTTTATAAATGTGGCAGATCTTAAGCCAATAACACCCATAATTCATTAAAAGTGAATGGTCTAAGTATACCAATTAAAAGACAAACTGTTACAGCAGATAAAAAAACAAGACCCAACTCTATGTTGTCTACAAGAAACTTAAATATAAAAACACAGGTTAAAAGTAAAGGTGCAGAGAAAGACATACCATACTAACACCAAACAAAAAAAAAAGCTGAAGTAGCTATATTAATTTCAGACAGAGCAGATTCAGAACAAGAAAAATTATTAAGGATAAATAGGGGCGATACTTAATTATAAAGGGGTCAATTCTTTAAGAAGACATAATAATCTTTGACATGTACCCCAAAGAGGGAATCAAAATATCTGAGGCAAAAACTGCTAGAATTGTTAGGAGAAATAGATAACTCCATTATTATAGTTTAAGAGTTCCACACCCCTTATCAGTAATTAATAGATCCACAGGTGGAAAATTAGTAAGGAACCAAATAGTACCATCAACAGGATCTAATTGTCCTCACCTAACAACAGCAGAAAACATTCTTCCCAAACTCCTATAAGACTCTCATCAAGCTAGACCACATTCTGGGCCACAAAACACACTTTTAAAAGAACAGATATTATACAGTGTTTGCTCTCAGAACACAATGGAGTTAAACTAAAAATCAATAAGAGAAGGATATGTGGGAATCCCAAAATATCTGGAGATTAAACAACACACTTAGATAGGACATGGGTCAAAGTAGTCACAGAGATATTTTAAAATGTTTTGAACTAAATGAAAATAAAAATACAACCTATCAAAATGTGTGGTATACAGCAAAAGTAGGGCTTAAAGGGTATGTATAGCCTTGAATGCATATATTAGGAAAAGAAGATTAATCTAAAACAAATACTCTAAGTTTTTACCTTAGGAAACTAGAAAAGGAGAAGAATAGGTATCCTAGTCAATCATTCAGAAGGTAATCTAGATGAACTCTAGAAGCAGAATGCCAATGCTGATGAATGCCTTCACGGGCACATTTCCGTGAATGATACAAATTCATTACAAGATGAATAACTACAATGAAATCATACCACCCTCAACATGAATTTTCAGAAGTATCCAAAAGGCAAAACAATAGCACAATAAAAAAAAATCAGTGGTTGCCAGAAGTTTGTTCAGGGAGAGGAGAAGTGTTGAATAGGTGAAGCACAGGGGAATTTTAAGGTGGTGAAATTTTTTATGATATTTTATTTTATTTTATTTTTTTAAAGATTTTATTTATTTATTTGAGAGAGCAAGAATGAGAGAGTACATGAGAGGGGGGAGGGTCAGAGGGAGAAGCAGGCTCCTCGCTGAGCAGGGAGCCCGATGCAGGACTCGATCCCGGGACTCCAGGATCATGACCTGAGCCGAAGGCAGTCGCTTAACCAACTGAGCCACCCAGGCGCCCTTTTATGATATTTTAATAGTGGATGCATGACATTGCACATTTGTCAAAATCTATGGAACTGTACAACACAGAGAATGAACCCTAATGTAAACTATGGACTCTAATTGTATGTCAACATTGGTTCATCAGTTGTAATAAATGTCCTACACTAATGAAAGATGTTACTAATAGATAAAACTGTGTGCAGGGGAGGGGAATGTATGTCTTCTTGCTCAAGTTTTGTTTTGTTTTTGTATCTAAAACTGTTCTAAAAACAAAGTCCATTAATTTAATTGAAAGTTAGATTAAATAAAGTGAAACAAACAGAACAGAGAGGAGAAGAAAAGACATCAAACTGAGTGTAAATTATTTCAGTTTGCCATTGAAGGGAAGGATAAATATGGTGAGATGGTGGTGGTTGGAAGGAGTTCTGGAGTTTGTTGAGGATTTTGCTTGTGTTACTATGTTTGTTTTAATATGGGAGAGAGAAAAAAAAAGGTGAAGATAGTGGTGTAACCATTTCATTGAATGAGTTACTTTTTATTAATTCCACATAAAGAGGAAGCAAACATTCTTCTCCTCCTACGGCCCTTCAAACTCACATGGCACACATCTCTCTTACCAGGCTTTTCTCATCACTTTCAGCTATGAGCCTTGTTTCATTTTCAGATATTAAACGAATTTTTCAATCTAAATCATTACTTTTAACTAGCATGAAATCAAACCTTGCTCTTTCTCCCAGCTCAGACTAGGTCTGTTAATTTTTAGATAAGTCAAAGGAAACAGGGGCATGATAAGTCCTTCCACCTTGTTCTTTACTTCTTTTCCACAACTTATAGTTTCTGCTCCTCCATAGGTGGGGCTAGGGGTGGGGAAGAGTTAAGGAATGAAGGTAAGAATCAGGCATCAGTCTCTGTACCCCCTGAAATGTCAGGAGATACAGATCAAGTAGTTTCAAGGATCCTCTTGCCTTGCTCCAACTGGAACACAGCACTGGATGGGCTAATACTTTTTTGCTACTCTGTATTAGTGGGGGATGTGAGGAGGGGAGTGGTGAGATGTTATATTCTCCTTGTGGCATACACTCCTCTTCTCTATAAATGGTTCTCTGAGAATTCCCCTTACATGGTTTGAGGTGGGAGGAAAATCATCCTCTTCCACCCACCACAGGGAGAGGAAGGTAGGGAAAACACATACCACCCCAATAGCTCTATTCAGAACAATTCCTCTCTCTGAACTCAGGTCAGTCTCTAGCCATCTCTTATACATAGATAACAGATGGGTGAGAGTTGGATTTGTTTTGGCCATCTCTTTGCGAGCCTTGCCTTAATGAGTCTGTTATCTCTTCCTTAGAAGGTAGAGGTCCTCATCATTTATTGTACTCAACTGAGACAATGGAAGAAAAGTCATTTAACATTCAGTCACATAGGAAAGAGAAAGTATATTTGGTGTAGTGAGGTATTGAAGAATGCAGGCCTAGTGCATTTTCTGGACCTGAGAGAAAAGAACATTTACCATTATAACATAACTGAACAGTACCTTGTAGCCAATATCAGGATGTTATTGTGTTCAGACATTGGTCTGCCATTTGGCATTGAAAAGAAATGTCTTTGCTCGAAGAATTTTCAAATGAAGAAGAGATAATGATAAGTGATAAATAACAAAACTTCATCAAAATCATTTTGCCCATCCATATTTCCAGTTTTAGTAGTAACTGCTCAAAAAAAAACTCCCTTTATGTCCTACTCTTCTATCAATTCTGTTCTTCCAAGAGTTGCTTCCTACCCTTTCTAAACCAAATACAATTTAGTCTTTCCCTTTCTCCAATTGATCAAACTTTACCCCAGTCAGCTAAACAAAAGTCCTGAGAGCTGAGCAAGCATATACAGAAATATTTAGAAGGTGAAAGAGGGGTGAGTAAATAAAGAAAAGCTATGAATGCTAACACATTAATAGTTTTGTCCCTGATACCTTGATAAATATAAACTAATTGTGCTTTTTTTTTTTTTTTCTGGTTTAGCCAAGACTGGTAAAACTGAGCCAAAACATGTGAAGTTCATTCAAGATGAAACCACTTCAATTGAAAGAAAGAAAACTAGTTTTCCTGATGTTGTTTCAAGAAATCAACCACAAACACTTGTCAAAATCCAAAATCTTTTTCTTGATCATTATATACAAGAAAGAGTGACTACTATTTCAATACCCAGAAAAACTTTTAAGAATGTCTATTGGCACATTCCAGAGACTGCTACTGGTTCCATATTTTTCCCAACCTGTCGTTCAGCCTCAAGTCGAGTTTTTGGGAAAGAAACAAGACAAATGAAAAGGTCAAGAAAATCAAAAGAAAAAGCATCAAAAATAATAAATTTTTATTTTGGTGACCTGTTCAAAGACATTCTGTTTCTCTCCTCAAAGTTCTCCAGGCTTCCAAATACCACTTCCCCAGCTATTCCTCCCAAACCCAAGGAAGTTCACTCTGAGTATCTACCTTTATCTACCTGTACTTTTAGGCAATCTCTGATAGGGCCACGTGCAACAGTGCCAAGCCCTGTTCCAGGATTTAGGCGTGCTAAAGCAGAAAGACCATGGGCTAAACATTTAAAACAAAATACTGCCATGGTACTAAGTATTACTCATTTTCCAGGCCTCTTGTCCATACCAACACCAATTTTGCCAAGAAAACCTCGAAGACAGTCTTTGTTAGGTAAATCCATTCTGAATATGGTTTGTAATAATGGGATCAAGTAGATCAAAGGGGAGAGAAGGCATGCAAAGGGTAGTTATCCCTTGGGTTTGCAGCTTTGGATGATGGGATCACTTTTTGCCTATACATTCAATATATGAGCCAGAATGCAATAACAGAGGTAATGACCTTGAAGGTCTTCCAAGGTGAAACTGGGTGCTCTACCCAAATGGTGGTAGTGGGCACCAGATGAGGGAGTTCAAAGGATCAGAAAAGTCAATATAAAAGAGCAGTGAGAATGAACAATCATTCAGAAGGTAATCTAGATAAACTTTAGAAGCAGAATGCCAATGCTGATGGATGCCTTCATGGACACATTTCCATGAATAATACAAATTCATTAAATGATGAATAATTATAATGAAATCATAACACCCTTAACATGAATTTTCACAAGAATCCAAAAGTTGGTTCACTTTTTTTCTTTTTTCTAGAAACTCATATAACAGAACCTGAAAATGTAGAAAGTACTCCAAGGCACAGCATGCCAAACCTGCCTGAAGGTAAATGCTATATCATTCTTTAAAAAACTGTATATAAGTTTATCTCTCTATAAAAGCATTCATGATTTTGTGTGTTGGTGTATGTGTGTGTGATTCACATGCATGTCTCACCTCATTTTCAGCTCTTTAGGCCATTTAGTCAGTAACTACTTTTTTTAAATATTGACTATAAACCAAACTTTGTACTGATGCTGGGAACATAAAAGCTCAAGTATCCTTAATCTGGGTGGGGCAGATAAACATGAAATAATAAAAAGTAACTACTTTCCAAGCTCCAGGCACTATTCTAAGTGCTTTGACTTTAGCTACCAAGCAGAAACAAATGAAAAATTATCTTTAAAGAAAATGACATCATCCTAGACTCACATTATTTCTACAAATAATTTCACACAGTGAGTAGTAAACAATTCATAATTGTGAGGCACACGAAGAAAGAGACAAAATGAATGAGAACTATCAAAAAAGTAAGCAGTAAAAACATGCCCACAGGAGATCCAGGTGTTAGAATTATCAGATACAGATTTTTAAATAACTTGAAGACTTTTGGTCTGTCTACAATTGAGTAGCTTGTATTGGACAAACCCTCCCACCAAAATCAACTATTAAAGCTGCCCAAAATATATAAAATAGCTACTGAAGGTATTGGAGAGTAACCATTATAGGCCTGACATGAGCGGCTACAATCTTTGGAATAAGGGAAGCTTGTAAATCAGCTCTACATTTACCTTGGCTTTTGCCTGAGGTCATTTGTGGTGTTAAAGAACAGAGCACAAGTAGGAAGGGGTAGTACTGAGTTGAGGAGAGAGCCATCAGACTTCAGAGCTGTCAATATAGCTGGGGCTTGAGATGCAAAATCTCAGAGAGAAGAAAAGTGAGTCCAAATATCTGCACACATATCTGCTGATTTCTAATCTGTGCATATGCAGGATAAAACTAGTGTATATCAGCTGATATTTTCTGCTAAGAAACACAGCAGAAAATATCAGCTGAGATGCTAAAGAATGAACATATATTTTCATAGTGGCATGGAAGACAGTTATTAGAATTAAAGTTCTGCCAAAATGTAGGGGCCTTGTAAATACACTGGGCTTTTAGTTGAAGATCCAGAGGACCCATGCATTAGAAATAAGGATGATGTTTTAGAAAAAGGCACAAAACTAAAATAGATTATACCTAGCAAACTCAAAACCAATCTTTAATGAATCAAAGTGATACTCTTTGCCCAATCAAAGAAAATTTAACACTTGCTGGAGAGACATAGCGTTATCCTGATCCTTTAAAATTCTCATCCACAATGTCCAGCATTAAATTTAAAAAATCACAAGGCATCCTAAAAACAGGATAAAATGTCTGAAAATCAGTAGAAAGAAACAGAGCCATAGAATCAGATACTGAAGTTTTCAAATGAGGGTTTTAAAATAATTGTGACTACTATGTTTAAGAAAATAAAGAATAAATTGGAGAATTTTACTAGAGAACTAGAATTTTTGTTTTTAAAAACAAGAGTTAAATAAAATTCTAGAACAGAAAAGATTATATAACAAATTAATGATTCAATTAATGATTAAACATAGAACACTCCAACTATAGAACTTTCTCTTTTTTCTAGTTTACTTATTGTGAAATGATTACCACAATAAATTAATATCTATCACTCCACATTTTTCTTGTTATGAGAATTTTTAAGATTTCAAATATATAGGACAGTATTGTTAACTATAGCAACCATTGGACTCTCTGAGCCCACTATCCTTCCCAGTAGTTCTGTACCATTATCTGTGACATAAATTAACTTCTCAGTCTCTTCCGCATCATAAGCTGAAACAAGTCATGCTGCTATTTCTGATTTATTCAGTTTGTCCCACTCTGGTGGTTCCCTCTTTGAAAAATTTCAGGTGAGTTTAAGGGTCTTCAGATCCTTCAGAGATCCATCAGGGAATTTGTACTTACCTCTCCACCTCCATCTCCTTCATTTCCACTCAAAAACCAACTGCTTGGGTTTAGTCCATGAAGATAGGTGAGCTGGGAGCAGGTCACAGACTTAGGTCTTAACTCACTCTCCTTTCCTTCTTGCTCCACTCTCCCAAGACAAGGACTCTCTCTATCATATCACACATCTTTCTGCTGCAGTTAACTTTTACATCTATTGATCTGAAATGGGTACACAGGGCCTGTTTTAGAAACTAGAAACTGAACATTGTTTTCTCTGGTCTAGGATGCATTATATCCTTTCGTTGAAGCAATGGCATAAGAATTACTGAGATTGTAAAATATGATGCTGCAAATAATGCAGCAAGAATGGCTGTGAATATAAAATTTATGTTACAAAATTTCAGTATATTTTCCTGCTGCACTTGGGTGTATACTTGGATAGGACATTTTTGATGGAAGGTGAAACCCACAAGGGTCATGAAAAGTAAATTTAGATGATCTCTGGTTAACTTCTGAGTTGTTTGGATTTTTTTCTCTTCTTGTGTGGGGTCTTCAAACTGAGGGAAGGAAGCTGAATTACATAAGGCACTTGAAATATGCATCAAGATGGTATTAGGAGAAAAAGCAAGGTTGCTCCTTGGGAGGTGATCTCTATCTGCCTTATGATTATATGATGTCCTTTATTAGTTTTATGAAGCAAGAAGTTGCTTATGTAAATTAATAAAATTTTTAAAAATATTTTTACATGTAACACAAAAAGACTGAGATTGATGGAATTTAACTTATCTAGATAGAAATCTATAAGCATGTGGTTTTCTTTTTGAAAGACAATTGTACTAATATTTGAAAAAACACACACAACACCCTGCTTAGCAACCAGCTGAGATTGGGTGGGTGAAGGTTATGAGGAATCTCTTCCAGAGGATTTACACAGCTAACCTATTTATTATGATTCACTGTTATCATAACATAAATACTTTTTAACTTGCATTCTAAGTGCTAACACAGTTAAGTCTCATGTTTTCTTTTGTTTACTTAGGTATCATGAAATCTAGAAAACCAGAGGAATCACAGGCATGTCTCATTCGTGGTGGGGGTCTTAAGACTATTAATGCAACACAATATGAAACAATAATAGCCATGACCAACCTCGCCATAGTAAACTGTCAAATATATGGAAGAAATGCACTTAATCTTAAGGTATGCTAGATCTTTTTAATGACAACTTCTTTTTGTATTATCAATTATTTTTGCTTTAGGTTTCTTAATTTAGGTTAGTTTCCATGTTATTGAAGGGATCTTTCCTGTTGCAATAGAGATTTTCCAGGAAAACATTAAGATTTATCTCTAAACCTATGTCCTAGTTTGCCTTCATTCTAGTTTCTTAAAATGTTAAGATCCAAAGCAATTGGATGTTTTTCATTATAGTGTTTTTTCATTATTTAGCATGATAAGAACATACCTCTAATAGTATTCTGAACCCAGTTCCACCATGGTGGGGGGAGTAATTTCCCCACACCACCAAGCAATTCTCAGACACCAGTTGGGTGTCCTACAATTCAACTCAATTCTGCCACTACCTAGTGCTAACACCAGATTCCATAGGTAAAATGCTCAGTCCCTCAAGAATGCCTTCCAGCTCAGAATGCCAATCACAAGCCCAGGTTGTTACTTGCACTTCTGACCACTGCTTATAAATTAGAGGTTCCCATGACCCTCTCCCTGGGTTCAATTAACTGGCTAGGGTAGCTCTGAGAACTCAGGAATCCCATTTAATTACTAGATAACTGGTTTATTACAAAAGATATTAAAGGAATTAAAGGATATGAGTCAACAGTCAGATATAGAGATACATAGGACAAGGTATGGAAAAAGGATATGGAGCTTCCATGCCCTCTTCAGGCACAACTCTCCCCAAATCTCCATGTATTTACCAACCTGGACACTTTCCAAACCCTGTCCTCTTGGTTTTTATGAAGGCTTTATTACATAGGCATAATTGGTTAAGCCCTTGGACTTTGGTGATTGAACTCAATATCCAACCCCTCTCCCCTCCCTGGAGGAGGGGGGAGTTGGTGAGGCAGAAAGTGCCAAACCTCTAATCACATAGTTGGTTTCCTGGAAACCAGCTTCCATCCTTCAGTGCTTTCCAAAAGTCACCTCATTAACATAAACACAGTTGTAGTGGAAAGGGACTTGTTATGCATTTCACCTTAATGGCTCTGAAGTGATTTCAGGAACTGAGGACAAGGGATCAAATATAACAAAAGATGATCCCCTTGCTCTTATGTCTCCAGAAATTTCAAGAATTTGGGGAACTGTGAGCCAGGAACTTCGAATGAAGACCAAATATATATGAGAGATATATTTTGGTCATCTGAGTGACCAAATACAGATTCTTTTGAATTAGAACATCACAATCTCTAACACATTCTATGCTGTCAATATAACCTAGATGCCAAAGGAACAAAAGACACCAAAGAAAACCACAGACCAACACCCCTTATGAAAATAGATAAAAATCCTTAGCAAAATACTAGCAAACTGAATCAAAAAAATTAGAAGGATTATATATAATAACAAAGTGACATTTATTCTTGAAATAAAAGGATGATTCAACATAAGAAAATCAATCAATATACATTAATGCATAAAGGTAGAAAACATAATCATCTTAATTGATGTAGAAGAGGAATTTGACCAAGACTTAGTTCTTTAAAAGGATTAATAAAATTTCTAAATCCATAATATGATTGGTGAAGGAAAAAAGGAAGAAAACTCTAAATACCAAATTCAAAATAAAAAAAGGGGAAATCACCACATGTCTCACAGACATTAAAATAGAAGATAACAAAACATTTAGAATAACCTTTTCCCAGTAAGTGCCACGGCTGTGATGAAATGGAAAAATTCCTTGGAAAACACAACTTTCTGAAACAGGCACAACAAGAAATAGAACACCAATACAGTTTTGTGCCTGTAACAAAATCTAATTAAAATTTTTAATTAAGAGCCCCTTCACACAAAGAAAGTTCTAGGCACATAGGAATTTCCTGGTGAGTCTATCAAACATTTAAGGAAAATAACACCAGTTTACATGAACTCATTTTATGATGCCTATTAAACTCCCACACAAAAGCCAGACGAGGATATTATAAGAAAGGAAAATTATAGACCACAATTTTTCATAAATTAAGTGCAAAAATTCTCAACAAAATATTAGCAAATCAAATTCAGCAATATCAAAAATTAAAAATGAAGGATAATGTATCATGACTAAATGAGGTTTTCACAAGAAATTAAAAGTTGTTTTAATATTTGGAAACCAGTGTTATTCTCAACAATATCATCTCAATAAATTAAAAAAACTTGACAACATTCAACACCCATTTATGATGAAAGAAAGCGGCGCCCAGGTGGCTCAGTCCCTTAAGCATCTGCCTTCGACTCAGGTCATGATCCTGGGGTCCTGGGATGGAGCTTCCTGTCAGGGCTCCCAGCTCAGCGAGGAGCCTGCTTCTCCTTCTCCCTTTGCCCCTCACCCCAGCTTGTGCTTTTTCTCTCTCTCTCTTAAATAAATAAAATCTTTTTTAAAAAGATGAAAGAAAAGAAATATACCTCTAAGTAAACTAGGGTTAAAGGAAACCTTTCATAATTAAATAAAGAGTATCTATGAAAACTCTGCAACCAGCATCATACATAATCAGTTAAGGATTGAATACTTTCTCCCTAAGATTAGGGGCAAGGCAAGAAAATTTTTTACTTCACTTTTATTCTACATTGTAATGATGATTCTAGCCACTTACATTAGATAAGGTATACTGAAAAGGAAGAAGTAAAACTATCTTCATTGGCATACAACATGATTGCTTATGTAGAAAATCTTAAGGAATCTCAAAAAAATCCTACTAATTAAGTAAATTTAGCATGGTTGCTAGATTTACGCCATAATGTTCTTTATTACAGAGGGATCTAATCCAGGGTCACATGTTGAATACAGTTGTTTCAGTTTCTTTCAAGCTGGTGTGTTTCCAGCTTTCTTTGACTTTCATGACTTTGAAGCTTAAAAATCACAGGCAAGTTATTTTGAAAAATGTGCATTATTGTGGGTTTGTCTTAGATTTTCCAATGATTAGATATAGGTCATTCACCTTTGGCATTAATATCTCAAAAGCTTTTTTTAATTCTATCATATCACATGGTGCATGATTTCAATTTATCCCATTACTAACAGGGTTTACTTAGATTACTTGTTTAAAGTGGTATCCTCAGAGCTTATCCACTGTTACTCTTTTCCCCTTTGTACTTAATATGTAAAAACTATGCAAATAATCTTATTTCTCATCAAATGTTCAATTATTTATTAATTTACATCATTGTTTCATGTGGTGAGTATAACCTGTTAAACCGTTATTTATTTTTATTCTGAAGTTGTCCCAGATTTCATTAGTAAAAGCCCATTCAAGTTGGTTTCTGTGTCCTTTCGACATTTCCTGTCATGTGCTATGGCTGGTGTGGGCTGGGGATCCCAGAGCGCTCTGAGCTGGGGCTACCCTGGTGGGATGGCTGGAGCCGAAGTGGGCATGGGCTGAGGTGGTCCTAGGATTCTTTGTGCAGAGGGTCCTCTGACAGGACAGCTGAAACTGAAGTGGGTGCAAGCCAAGTGATCCTATCATGCTCAGCACAGGGTCACTCTGGTAGGGTGGCTGGAATTGAGATGGGGCACAGACCAGGGTGTACTGGGGTGCTCTGTGCAGGGGGTGCTAGTGGGGTGGCTGGAGCTGAGGAAGGGGGCAGGATGGGGGTTCCTTGGGATGTTTTGCACAGGGAATACCCTGGTGGGGCTGCTGGGGCCATAGCAGGCATGAGCCAGGAAGTCCCAGAGCACTCTTCACTAGGGGTGCCCTGACAAGCCATCTGGAGCTAAAGTGGTGCAGGCCTGGAGTGTTCTAGGGTGTTCTGCACCTGTGTCACCTTGCCTTGATGGTTGGAGCTGTAGTGAGCACTGACTAGGAGTGTCCCGGTGTGTACCATCTTGGGGCTACCTTAGTGGGGTGGTTAGGGCTGGTGTGGGGTAGGGGCTCAGGGCTCCCTGAGACAAGCAGACTCACTGTGGTGCCCAGACCCTGCTCCTGTCTGCTCTATCAAGGTGGAGAGGAAATATTAAACGTGGTGTTCTGACACAGAAAGAGTTCCAGCAGTTCTCCCACCATCTGGCAGAGTTCTAGGGCTGTCTTTTATATTCTAGTTGCTCTTTTAAACCATGGCTTTTTCTCTGTGCCTCGGGGTAGATTAATCTGCTCCTGGTCCCTCAGTACTATCCCTCCCCACTGCAGTTCCAGAGGCAGCGTGGGGGGTGGGGTTCCCTGCCTTACCGTGTTTCCATCTCTTTTGATGTTCTCTGCATGGTCTCTCTATCTTCTGTTGTGCAGAAGCCATTCAGTCAGCCCTCAGTTTTTCTTCAGGAGGAATTGCTCTATAAATAGGTGCAGATGGGGTGAGTGAATGGAGAAGGTGAGTTCAGGATCTTTCTATGTCACTGTCTTGGACCAGAAGCCTCAAAAGTGCTTTATTTTAACCCAAGCTTCAATCTTTATAGAGCTTTCCGGTTAACTTTTTCTCCTAGGGCTGTGGCCTTTCAGCCCTTTCATACCAAGTCTGAGGCCTCTTGTCCTTGGTAAGCCATGAATTCCAGTTTTTATCTCTGTAGCCCTATTAGACTGCCTATCATTCTTCTCAACTTCTTGTCCACAGCTTTTGATTAGGCAAATGACTTAGGGAGAAAATTAGTGTTCTGTCTACCACCCTGAGAGTCTCTTCTTTCTAGAAGTTTGGCTTAGTAAGTCCTAGCTACCTTGGTAATTCACCAAGCATTTATTGTGCTGTGTTTGTTTACCTTTTTGGTTTTAGTGAGAAGGTTGGTTTGAAATACGGTTGTTAACCATTAGGAGAAGGGAATAATCAGATTATCTGGTTTTGAAGTGAAATACTTTATTTTTTTTTTAAAGATTTTATTTTTAAGTAATCTCTACACACAACGTGGGTCTCAAACTTACAACTCCGAGACCAAGAGTCACATACTCGGGCACCTGGGTGGCTCAGTTGGTTAAGCGACTGCCTTCGGCTCAGGTCATGATCCTGGAGTCCCGGGATCGAGTCCCACATCAGGCTCCCTGCTCAGC